TGAGAACACAGGTGGGGCAACCGAATTGTATTTAACGGAAATTACAGAGTTACTCAGTAAAATTGGAAAACCATATCGTAAATCGTTCATTTGCAAAATATATCAATCCATCCTATCGAACTGGACTGTTCCTGTTGCAAAAAATCAATCCAATGTCACTGTTCATACGTTTCATACAAATTCCATTGTGTTCCCCCCACTCTTCCTTTCTTGATCTTTCCCCATCTTCGGCTGCCAGACATTACGTTGACACTCACGTCATATACTACTTATAAGTAGCTCACACCACAGCACCACAATGGGAAAAGTTTAGGGTCCGAAGATATGATTTGAGAAGTATAATGCAGACAAGTATACATTAAAAAAAAGAGAAAAATGTCATGAAGATTACCATTTGAGAGGAACACAAAGCGGGGATGCACCTGATCGTCAGGGCCAGTCAGTGGTCAGGCCTACGTAACACATGTCCCAACTACCTTAACTGATAATATTGACTTGAAATCGAGTTCAATTGTTATAAGAAAAAAAAGGTCACATGACATTCGTTTCTCTCTTTTGTTGTTGTTGTTGTTGTGTTATTCATTTTCTTGTTTTAATTGAAAACTATCCTGTTTTTTCTTCATTTTTACTTAGGTTATATAAATTATATTATTCATCTATGTTAAATTATTTTATGAGGTAAAAGTATATACATTCTCAAATTGATGTATACATACACTTTTCAGCATTTCTAACTAATGTATTCTTAGTTTAATTGTAATGCATACATCTCTTGTCAAACAAAACAGCCCGTGACAACAACAGCCCGGTGTATATCTCTCTATCTATCTGTATAATATCTGTATATCTGTATATCTCTATATGTATCTGTGTGTATATGTATGGAATATTGAATTCCATTTCAATTATAATATAATCAGGTTGAATCAGTGGAGCTTGCATTGAAAATACTCGATGGTATGTTATATACACCGAATTATGTGATTCATGTGGAACGTGCTAAATTTCAACCAAAGGGTGAATTTGATCCAAAGAAACGTCGACGTTTAACAGTGAAAGAAAAGAAAAAATTAAAAGAACAACAAGAAAAGTAAGGATTATTATTTTTTTTCAGTGTGTCAAGTTTTATGACTTTATTCTCTCTGTCTTGTACATATGTCAGTCAGTCAGTCAGTTAGTCAGCTGCAATGTAGAACTTCGTACGTAAGTACATCAGTTCATGTTGACATACCGCATAGTGGTAGAGATAGTAGAGGTACTGCTGGTAAAGGAGAAGATTAGGGTTCCAAAATATTATTGAAGAAGTATAATTAAGTGAGATAAGTTTAGAAAGACAAAGGTAAAGGTGTTGACGAATCCAGAAGATTAGGGTTAGAGAGAACACAAAGAGTGGATGCACCTGCGTGATTGCAAACGATGTTGAGTCAGGTCATTCAAGGTCTCTAACCATCGATGACTTTCGGAAGCCTACATCTATCAACATCACTCAGTCCACTTGTAAGTGACTTCATGGATTTCTGTTATGTTTTGGTTTGGCCACCCCTAGCTTTCTTCCAACCTACTCCTACACCACAAAACATAGCTCGTTGAGGCAGTCAGTGGTTAGGCATACGTAACACATGTCCCAGCAACCTCAACTGATGAAGTTTCACTACTTTATCTATTGATTTGCCATCCCTACCTAGAACTCGTTTCCTAAGGACAGCATTGTTTATACGGTGGTCCCAGGATACACAAGCAATGCTTCTAAGACATCTATAATCAAATACTAGTAACGGACGAATATCGTAAATGTACTAATCTCATTTGCTTGTTATACTGTTTTGTAAAAAATGTAGTAACTTGAGTGGGTGAGTATTTAGCCACGATAAGCATTCTGTGTTATTTGTGTGACTTAGTTTTCTGGAGTAGACCTTTTACCGGGTGGCTCGCTTATTGACTTAGAATATGCCGATGACATTGTCCTACTTGGTGAAGACGCTGAAAAAATGCAGAGTCTTCTGACTGCCCTAAGCAACAATGCAAGCATGTTCGGGATGCGGTTTTCCCCCTCGAAATGCAAAATGTTGCTTCAAGATTGGGTGTCATCGGCACCTGAACTAGTGATAGGGAGTGAAGTGGTCGAACGTGTAGACCGCTTCACTTATCTTGGGAGTCTCATCAGTGCTGATGGCCTGGTGACTGACGAAATCTCGGCACGGATACAGAAGGCTCGATTGTCTTTTGCCAACCTGCGTCACTTATGGCGTAGGCGAGATATCCGTTTGCTGACTAAAGGACGAGTGTACTGTGCAGTGGTTCGCTCGGTCTTACTTTATGGCTGTGGTGAAACATGGCCAATGAGAGTAGAAGATATTCGTCGGTTATTGGTTTTCGATCATAGGTGTCTTCGAAGCATTGCTCGTTTATCGTGGGACACCCGAGTGAGCAACGCTGTTATTAGGAAACGGGTACTAGGTAAGAATGGCAGATCAGTAGATGCAGTAATGAAACTTCATCAGTTGAGGTGGTTAGGACATGTTCTGCGTTTGCCTAACCACCGACTGCCTCATCGAGCTTTGTTTTGTAGTGTAGGAATAGGTTGGAAGAAAGTTAGGGGCGGCCAAACCAAAACATGGTAGAAATCCATGAAGTCATTGACGAGTGGACTGAGCCATGTCGGTAATTGTCGACTACCTGTTTGGGGTCCGCGAGATGATAATAATCGATGGTTAGAGACCTTGAATGACATGGCTCAAAATCGTTCGCAATGGCGCCGGTGCATTTATTCTTTGTGTTCTCTCAAATCCTAATCTTCTGGGTTCTTCAACACCTCTAGCTTTTACTTTCTAAACTTATCTCATTGAATCATACTTCGTGAATAATATCTTCTAATTCTAACGTCTACGATTACTTCTAATACCTTTACTACCTCTTCTACTATTGGATTTGAATTGACAATTATATCTCTTTGCTGATGTGGTATGGCGACATGAACTGATGTACTTACGTACGAAGTTCTACGTTGCATCTGACTGACTGACTGAGTTACCAAGTTCAAAGCATTTCTGGTATATCCTGGGACCACCGAGTAAGCAGTGCTGTTGTTAAGAAAAGGATATTAGGTAAGGATGACAGATCTATAGATGAAGTAGTGGAAGTTCATCAGTTGAGGTGTTTGAGACATCTGCCACATATGCTCAACCACTGACTGCTTCGAAGAGCAATGTTTTGTGATGTTGGGGTAGGCTGGGAGGAAGATGGAAGCGGCCGAACCAAAACATGTCTCAAATCCATGAAGTCATTGAAAACTGGAGTGAGCCATGTTGGTAGGTGTAGATGATCTCTTTAGGATCCGCTAGGCAATAGTAACCGATGGTTAGAGACGTGCTTCGAAAACGTTTTTAATGGTGCAGGTGCATCCACTCTTTGTGTTCCTCTCAAGTTGTAATCTTCTGAAAACCTCATTACTTTCTTCTCTTTTTCAATGTATATTTGACTGGTTTGTCACTCCTTGAATAATATCTTCAAACCCTAATCTTTCCGATGACTGCTCATACTTTTACTACATCAACCACTATGGGATTTGAATTGACAATTCAATCTGTATATGCTAATGTGTTATGGCAGCTTGAACTGATGTACGTACGTACGAAGTTGCACATTGTAGCACAACTTATATTGTAGTACGTGATTTAGAAAACAATGAACTTGGCAGGTCACTCATATTGTAATCTATTAATGCATTGCTTATCATCACTTACGATACTGTTACCTCTCATAGAGCATAGGCCGCCTACCGAAATTCTTCAACCAGTTTTGTCTTGCTTGTTTGTTAAGGGCTATTTATTCTTTTGAGGTCTGTTACCAGTTGTCGACTGCTTGTGTTCCTCGGCACTTCACATTTACTTTGAGATTTCCGAATGTTTGGGCTTGTCTTGTAACATAGTTTAATGATTTCTTCAATTTATCTTGCTCATCATATCAGTCAATGGTAATTAGGAGTTATTATATTACATCTTAGATCAGCTAGTAAATCAAACACAGGTTCTAATGTGTTATCAGGTATGCCAGTGATGATCGGTTAGTGTATACATCCCTGTGATTTTATAGGAGCACCCAGTGAACGTTTCTATACTACATGCTTACATTTCAATCCACGTATATTCCTCCTCTTTAAAGAAGAGGTAGTTTAGTGGCTGGAACACCTTACAATTTTACTTACATTTAGAAGTCTGGCGATAGTACAAGTATCGTTAACGCTTAGATAAAAATATGTCGGTAAAATTTAAATTTATAAATATTGTACTTGTGTTAGTGGGACATAGATGGTATTAAAGCATGACTACGTTGCTACGCGCTGATTGGCTAATTTCCTATCCAATCAGTGCTTGATCGATTCTTGGAGAACAGGGTAGAAGATTCTCGTATTGTTAGCTGCGTGCTGATTGGTTAAATCTAATCCAGTCGATCACGTGAATTTCTATCCAGAAGCTTTCTCATGTAAATGCTATAAATAGACTAACGTTGTATCTATTTTTGCCTTCTTTGCCTTCGCCATCACCTTTGGCTCCTTATTTCCATTTAACCTTTCTATTTGGGATATAATCATTTCCTGTTCAATCGTGTGTTTTGATCCTTGGGAACTACTTGTCCAGTGTATTGTGGTCAGAGAATAAATACTAAGCGATAGGATTTAGCTAGAAATTATAAAAGCAAGCATTACAACAGTAGCGTTACAATAATTTGACTATCGGACTACATTAAAATTAGCAAATGCGTAGTTCATACTGTTTATGCTCTATTCGAATTGTATGATTTTTTATGTAATTTGTTTTTTTTTTTCAATTTTTTTCCACCTTAGTCTATTTCGATGGAGTATTGATACGAGCAAATTTGTTCGTGGCAAAAAAGAACGAGTGGTTATTCTTAAAAATGCATTTATTGAATCTGATTTTCAGGTAAACTCAATAATTTTATATATATATATATTTTAAAATTGCATTGGAGATTCATTGAAATCATGAATTGATCAATGTTAGACTTGAAAGCACTAGATGGCCGTCTCGTCCTGGTGTAGGACTCATCAGTGGGAGTGTGCGTCCACGACTTCACTAGCGGAAATCGAATCAAGAGCATTTGGTCTCGTACTCCTACGCTTAGCCTGTTGACCACTGAGTAGTAGTGTGGAAGGTTTAGGTCCGATTTCTGTTGCATTGCTCGTATATCCTGGGACACCCGAGTGAGCAACGCTGTTATTAGGAATCGGGTACTAGGTAAGAATAGCAGATCAATAGATGAAGTAATGAAACTTCATCAGTTGAGGTGGTTGGGACATGTGTTACGTATGCCTAACTACCGACTGCCTGGTTGGGGTCCGCGAGATGATAATAATCGATGGTTAGAGACCCTGAATGACATGGCTCAAAACCGTTTGCAATGGCGCAAGTGCATTTATTCTTTGTGTTCTCTCAAATCCTAATCTTCTTCATTCTTCAACACCTCTAGTTTTTACTTTCTAACCTTATCTCACTGAATTATACTTCTTGAATAATATATTCTCATGCTAACTTCTCCGATTACTTCTAATACCTTTACTACCTCTACTGCTATTGGATTTGAATTGACAATTACATCTGTGTGCTGATGTCGTATGGCAACATGAATTGATGTACTTACGTACGAAGTTCTACGTTGCATCTGACTGACTGACCAGGTAAGGATGGCAAATCATTTGATGAAGTGTTGAATTTTCATCGTTTGAGATGGTTGGGACATGTGTTACGTATGCTCGACCACCGAATGCCTCGACGAGCTTTGTTTTGTGGTGTAGGAGAGTAGGTTGGAAGAAAGTTAAGGGTAGCCAAAGCAAAACATGGCACAAATCCATGAAGTCACTCACAAGTTGACTGAGTCATGTTGTTAGATGCCGACTACCTACCTACCTACCGACATAACAGTAACCGATGGTTAGAGACTTTGAATGAAATGGCCCAAAATCGTTTGCAATCACGCAGGTGCATCCAATCTTTGTGTTCTCTTATATCCTAATTCTCTGGGTTCCTCATTACCTCTATGTTTCTCTCTCTAAATTTATTTCACTGAATTGTACTTCTCCGATTCATATCTTCGATCCATAATCTTCTCCATTTCTGCTACTATCTCTACTACTATGCGATTTGAATTGACAATTCGATCTGTGTGTGCTAATATGGTGATATGGTAACTTGAACTAATGTACGAAGTTCTATGTTATAGCTGACTGATTGGAACTTGTCTTTAGTTAAGATTGTACTTAGTAGATTCTAGATTTTATTTTCATTCGGTGACTCGAACTCAACACTATTCACCTCAACTTTCGTCATCATTATTATTATCCGCTAAGGCAACTGGTATGTACACTAACTGGGTAATATTTGATTAAATAAACGTTTTTATTGAATTCTAGTTGCTAGTTGAAAAAAATCGATTATCATCATTTTTCTTCTGCTTATTATTACAGCGTGATGTCACTTTAATTCCAATTGTAAGAGAACGTTTACGTGTACAATGTGCTAAATGTGGTATTATTAAAAAGATTGTTGTACATGATGTAAGTGTGCTACTTGATTGATTAAAACAAAAAAAATGAATAATATGTGTCGTTTTTTATTGGTATGATTTGATTTGCTTTGATTTTTAGTCACTCTTTGAGCTCTCTCAAATCCTAATCTTCTGAATTCGTCAGCACCTCTACCTTTGTCTTTCTAACCTTATCTCACTGAATTATACTTCTTGAATAATATCTTCGAACCCTAGTCTTCTTTATTATATCATTAATACCTCTACTATCTTTATCACTATGGGATTTGATTTGACATTTGCGTCTCTGTGCTAATGTGTGTGGTATGGCAACATGAACTTGTGAACATACGTACGAAGTTCTACGTTGCAACTGACTGATTTTTAGTCATCGATGATTAT